CCCAACGAAAAGGGACCCTGCTGGGGATTAAGTTTTGTAGTGGAGGGGCCCACGAAAAAAAGTCCCCAGGGGTTAGGCGGGTCTATGGGACCAATGGGTGAGGGAGTGATGCTCAGTTTTATTTGCTTGGTGTTTTCAATAGCTTATACAGTGAGACCCCGATAAACAGACAATTTGACTCAGGGATAATTGATAGCCAAAAAAAAATCAGGCCCAACATCTGGACATCAGTTCAAGATAAGGACACTTTTCTGAAATTTCCCCAAGAAATCATAACATTATTTTTTTCATTTTGATATATTTTGAAGAAATCAAACTGTTTATATTTGCAAAATTTGAAGAAATATTTCATGATGAATCACTCCAATTCATGAGCAAAAGCAAGGATATTTCATGAATCTTTTTTCTATTCTAGCAGTGCTTTTTCTTTGTTTTTAGATCTACTTTTGATACCAAAAGATCATATTCTAAATGTTTTGTTCTGCACTGTCATTTTCTACAACGTGAAGTTGAGAGAAACCATTTTTATTACATTTTTTGAAGACTTATTTCTAATTTTTGACAAAATGGAGAACCAATTAAATACATTAGCATTGAAGTCTAAGGGAAAACAAGACTTGACTAAAAGACATTCCAACATCAAGACACTCTTTTGATGATCCAATTATGTCTGCATCTTGGGGTCTCACTGTATTTACAGCAGGCAAAAGCGCCATTGTAGACTAAAGGAGTGTTTGTTTCTATAAAGATTATTTTTGTCATTTTTTAATAGTTTTCAAAAACAACTCTCTAGCAGGAACAGAATATTATCATCAATATTTTTGAGGAATGCAATATTCCTAGCCAATATTTCTTAGGAGTACAATATTTCTAAAAATGTGAGGCTTGTCCAAAGCATGTTTATTAAAATCTCTTCATCAACTGGCCAATCAATTCCTGACCTGTTGGTCCCACAGCCGCGCACCCCCTAGGGACTTTGTTGTTCTGGGTGCTTGTCAGACCTGAATTTGTACACGTTTTCTCATTCCTAAATTAAGGAGAAAAAATGGCGAAAAAGCTCACGTTAATTTTATTTTCAATTAAAAGCACCAATACAAGTCAATTTGAAAATAAAATGCGCCGAGAAACAAAACTGACATTTTTTGGACAGCATTTCCCGTTGTGAGATTGTTTTTTACCTTATTTAAGATCTTCATGGCGGAAATGTGCTCATTTTTTCAGAATCCCATGATGAGGTAACATTGGAATGTTTAATTTCTTGGACGCAACCAAACTATTCAATTCTATGAAGAACTCAAGTTTACTGCGTTTTAAAATTTGCTTCGACTGAGTTCATAAAAGTCGTGTTCTATTTAATACAGTTCACTGGTTTTCCTAACGCAATATTGCGGATTCGCTCCCCGATTTAATTTTTTTTGAGCGAGCAAATTACGTGTACCTCTTGAATTTTGCGAATTCCCAAAGTTTTCCTGTTGGATAAAATATTAATTCCTGAATTATTACTTGTTCTGCAGACATGAGAAAAGCCATGTCAAGGGACGTGTTTAGATCCTCAGTGGTACCACTGCTTCACCCCATACGACCCGAAGATCTGGACTGAGAGTGGAAATTCTTTTTTTTTTTTTTTTCGCGAGCGAGTGAGCGATTCTTACTGTCCAATGTGTACTTCGTGTTTTTGTGTCTGTGGCGCTGCTAGCCCTGAATTCATGACGTATGCGTAACAAAGACTGCATTTTTCTCCCCCGGTCTTGTGCGTTGGAATGACTAATGACGGGATTACCGGCATTCAGGTTGGTGGTCGTCAACGGGAAGAAAGGAGCCCAATGAATTCGACCAAGGTGTGACTGATGGGGTTAATCACCGCTTGGCAACACTGCGGAGACGCGGTGGCTCTGTTCTGCTCTCTCTCTCTTTCGTACACACACACACACACACATACATACAGGGCCCCCGGATGAAGGGGCGGGTTTTTCTTTTTATTTTGGAACAGCGCGAAATCCGGATGAGAGCATCCGAGGGAATCCGGAATGTGCTGCAGGAGGGATTTACCGGCGTCGGGCGGCTGGAGAGAAATCCGCGAGGGAGTGGAATAAGAGCCGAGGGGTAAAGAGGATAAAGCGTCTGGGATTACGACCGGGGCCCAGATTAACAGAGGAGACGTGACTGGTCCTCGAATGGGATGGATCAAGCGCCCTGCTTGCGGTGGCGCGTGTCGAGCCTGTCGCGAGTGTCCCGACCGGACAAGCTTCTGCCGTTTGCCAGCCTTCATTCATTCTGGTTTTCGAACCGTGCACATACATCCCACCACCAGTGGTACACGCGGAGGTTGAAACTTCAAATTGTCCAAGAACTACTACAATATTCCCCGTCTTCATTCGAATGCACCGTTTTCTCTTAAATTTGATGGGGAAAAGAGAGGGGGTCCCCATCATTGTAATAACAGTACAGTATTTTATTTTCGAAAAGTTTTAAAGATTTAGGTGTGCATCATAAGTTAGTTTAGTGGGAAATTCTAGACCCAGTTCAAAAGAAAGAATCCTATCCTGATGGAAACATTTGAAAATTAGTCACATCATGCCTGAAATCGAATTTGGGTGCTGTCATTTTTGAAATGTAGTGGTTTTAGAGTTCCTAAACATTGGGTGTATGTCTTATTCGGGGATAAAATTGTATTTGGAGCACTTGTACATTGTACTGCATTTGTGAATTTAAGGGGAAAAAAATTCGTAAAACCTTGCTCAAAACAGATTTGTATGTAATTGTAAGGTCAGTAATGTATAAAACATCCATAATCTGTTTCCTCGCGTAAAGTTATTTATATGCCATTTGTTGGCATTTTTGCATCGGATTCACTGGCTCCTTGAATTTTTTCTTCGCCTTTCCATGAGAAAGGCGAAGTTGAATCTGGTAAATTCTCGCAATGTTTCCGTGTTGCCTCTGCTTCTTTTTGTTTTGTACCATTTGGAAGCTCGGGATCAAGCCCCAGACTACAACTATTCCAGTGTGGACACGACGGAAAGGCGGACCAGTCGGCGTGCATTATATACCCGGAGCATTCCGAGGCTTATGGAGTTTTTAGCTGATCCTCCGGAGCCCGGGATGTGCCGTGGGTAATCCTTCCTCCCCCTCCTTGATGCGGAATCCCTACGCCCGGCATCGCACCGCGCTTCCGATTCAAGACCTTATTCCCCTGTATCATCAGACCACAAAATTTGATTCTACCGAGTAGCTTCTCCTTCCATTTGCCGCGGAAGTACCGCATGATATGCACTATACTGTATACAGAATCAGGGTTTCTACAGCCGGTGGTACGTGTTACCACTGGTGGAGTACGGAGGATTTTCGAAGTGAAAAGGTGAGTTGCTTTCAGAGTTGACTGTCGGGTTCTTCATCCATAACTCGAAACCAGTCTCGGAAGAAACTGGTGGATTTAACCACAAGAAGGCGAAGTTCCAGAAGCCTTTGTTAAGCTTTCGACTACATGAGTTCAGGATGCAGTTATCAACCGAGTTAATCAAGGTGCACCAAGTATTACGCTGCGGATATGTTACCATGGATGCCGGCGCAGTACGAATCATGCGATTCGGCATAGCATTCTCTCAACAGTTCACCGAAGTATCTCGAATGACCACGGTATCGGAACATTTTCAGGACTTCCTTCTTCGGAAGTGATTTCATTGTGTCACGAATCACGGAGTAAAAGCACACATTGACCTTGCGACGTTCGGTTGTATTCTAGAAAACAGCAACTGACGAAGATGATCGCGGTCTCGCACCAAGATGAGGCACACAGATAATTATTTCCCTCACTCAGACGTTGAGCGAGTTCGAAGGGAGAGATTGAAGAAAAAAAAAGGAAGGGGCCGGGTAAAAAATAAAATAAAGGCCATGGCGTCGGAAATCCGCGGATGTGTGCGGGGCGGAACTTAAGCCGAAAATCTCGGATTACTGCGCCTAATCTCCCGTCACTCTCCGCGGGGTTTTTGTGCGCCGGTGGGTTCAATCCGCAGTTCGCCGAGCCAGTCCCGGCCTTGGCAGTCCGTGCGGTACAGCCAAGTTGAGCGCGCGCTCCATGTTGGTGGGCTAAGTGGACGTCATAACTGCTCATTTGCTGCTCATTCTTTGATTTCCGAAATGATGCAGACGGCGATGTGTGATAACTTTCCAAGTGCTGCTGGTGAAACCCCTACTTCATTCTTCTGTGTACGCTGTGGAACCAAGTGATATTCGCCCATGAAACCGGAATTTATTTTTTAGTACTGTACTGTGCAAAGACGGGAAGTTACGTGAAAGATTTGCATTTATTGTCTTGAAAGCGCTGAGGAAATGAAGGTGAGATGTGGAACGAACAGTGTTGCCGTGCGTCGTGTTTGTAAGAAAATCTTTAAACTGAAAAGGAGGGATAATATGTCATGCGCTGGTTGAACTTGGCTTCATGAGTCACACAAGTATAATTTGGAACCACTTAACAGGTACACAAAAAGGGCTTCATGGCCTACCTAGAACACATTCACGGTTACACATTCTACATTTTCCATCTTTTTTTTACTGCAGCATGTAGCCGTTAAAAATATCGTACAAACACTAACGCATTTGTTAATTAATATTCAGTTATTTCTTATAGTACTTCTGAATTCCATGCTGTCATGCACTAAAAGTTTCGAATGCCTGAGAGAAGCTTGAATATTTAATTCTCGAAAATTAAGCCACTGATCACATCTTTTCATAAAGGGATAAAAATCGTCATTGTTCAACTTTGGTTTGTTTTTTTAAGCTATGCGCATAATATGGAGTTGCATAATTGTTTAGTCATGTTGATAAGTCAATTTCAGAAATACTACAGCCCATTGTGTAGTACAGTATTGTAAATTAAACTTCGCTACATGTTCACAAATGATATGACTATTCGGCCAGGAATCGGGTTGCGTATATTCTGAACTCTGAATGAGGATGTTCGCTTATTCCTGTTTTCTTTTCGTCGCGTCAGAAGAGCAGCGTGAGTATCAAAGACGAGTCCGCGTGAAGCGAACTTCATTCAGTTATAATTGAAAGACTTACTCGAGAATGGTGACACGAAGCTGAATCAATATGGCACTGTACATTATTTTGATCGAGCATATCTACGAATAAGCAGCATTGAACAGTATGAACATACAGAATCTCTGGAGCCCCCTGGGGCACCGACACCAAATTCTCTGTTTGTCCCACTCTCGTAAGTGATGCGGGATTTGATAACGTTTGGCTCAAGGCCGCGGCCATGAAACGGGCTGCAACGGAGCAGAGGCTCGCGATTCACCGACCCGCTGGTCCCTCGCTGTCTGACACAGATGGGATTCCTGGAAAAGTCGAACCCCGGGATCTGTCACTGGATGCTGACCCTCAAATCTCACCATTTCGCGTCCCGTTTCAGCAAATTCGCTACATAGGATCATTTCCCGCCCCTCCTGTAAGAACGTGAATTCTTGGAAAACATCCGTTTTTATGTGCGCGCATGCAACCAAGATACAATTAATATGCCATTTTATAGATAATAACGAAAACCAACTGTCCACTTCACTAGTGAGTCACTCCAAAGCAAATGCACTTGATTCATGCGCATGAAACCCTTTTCGGAAGATTTAAAACCAGTTGTTTGCAGGGAGGCAATACCTGTTTTTTTTTGTTTCTTAACGGCTCGGATAACGGACACCGCAAATGGCTTTTTTTTCTACTTTGATTTAGTCACCACTCGTTCGTTTTGTAATAGAACGTCAGCATAAAAATCTTGAAATGTTTTGGATCACAAAACTGTAGAGGCGATTACATTCTTCAACTGCTGCTGGACGCATTCATCTGATATTCCATATTGTGATGTACAGTACATTATTTCTGAGCGCTTTGCTACCATTTTTGTCATACACTAATCTAGTCTCTTTTTTTTTTTTAATTCGACTATAAAATGTCCCTAGGTTCTGAAGCGCTTAAATCATGCACTAAATATTTCAAATGACGTGAATAGTGGCGCTTTTCGACGAGGGGCCAAGATGTCGCTCAAGATATATCAGAAAGTTGATTCATTTTCCCCGGGAATTAAATGAGTCCATTATCCGAAGCAAAACCCCGCTAAGGGTATTTTCTGCAACAGAATTTTGAATGTTTTGGTTTACGGGGTTGTTTCGCTGCCTCATAAAATTGTGGAATTGCGAACGAAGTACAGTGGCCTGTAAACAAATTTGGAACCAATCCGACCTATTCAAATCGCGATAAAAGTGATACTACTGCGGAGTGCCGCGCCTTGCGCGCGAAGAAGCTGTGGGGTTGTCATCCCGCGCTTCACCCGCCCGCGCGCCCTGAGCATCTTCTTGAACCCCCGCTACCCCTATAGCTGTGTTTCGTGCGCGCAGGAACCCGGGGGTATTCCTTTTCGGGTGCCAAACTCGCCTTTTTGAGCCATGGGTTCGCCTTGGAGGCAGCTTAGTCGGGTTTCTCATCCCGTTTGCGAAGCGGCGATCGCCAGGGAAACCGACACGCGGATTGTGGTGAAACCAGACGCATCCTGTCTCGTCTTTTGAAGTATAGGCGTTACTTGATGAAATTCCCGTTACTGTTCCTGTGAATTTCCTGAGGAGTGGTGTGGTGCATTGGTGCAAACAGTGCGTGTGTGTGCACAAATGCTCGGACTGTTGTTGAGCGGGGCTGCGAAAGTTCGAGATCGGCTGTGTGTTTTGTGGAGGTTCTTTTCTTTTGCTACGGACAGTATTACGACT